ATATATATATATATATATATATATATATATATATATATATATATATAAACTACTACTTACTATTTGTACTCCTATTCCTTCTTCATGGTTTTTCACTTATAGCGAGGCTTCAGGGTACGGATCCCCCATGATAAACGAGGGACTACTGTAATCCTAAAGAAACAGTGGGATTAACAAGCACTGCAGTCTTTATTGTCAATATTCATTCAACCTTTATTTATGCAGGTTAATCCTATTGAGCCTCGGGGACTCATTTACAAGAGAGATCTGATGTATATCAGTATATCAATCCTAACGTCATTTGGATAATCTGAACCCTTTCTTTGTTAATTAATGGTCTTCTTATTTCACCTAAAGCTTTATTAGAAAGTAGTGAAGGCTGAGAGCATCCTGTGCTCCAGCATCAAAGTGTGGCATGGAGGCTGCACAGCTGCAGAAAGAAAAGCTTTGCAGAGAGACTTTGCACAGAAGACTGTTGGAGTCAGCCTCCCCACCATCACAGACATCTACACCTCCAGATGCAGGAAGAGAGCCACCTGCATCATGAAGGACCCCACTCACCCAGCACAAACACTTTTTGCCCTGCTCCCCTCAGGCAGGAAGTTGAGGAGCATTAAGTGTAGAACCACTAGACTGGGGAACAGCTTCTACCCTGAGGATGTTAGATGTTAGACTCATTAATATCTAACCAGGATAATCACTGAGAAAAATCACATCATGCTGCTGCTGATCTGTTTCATGTTGCTATGTTCATTTGTACTCATCTGCTCACACAGACTCATGTTTGTGCTGCTGTTCGGCGTATTCTTGTACTACTAGTGCTTAGCATATTTATAGTTAATGTTTTTCTTAGTTCATATCTTAGATCTTATTACTCTTTCACTTTTAATACTTTTGTTGGATGTAACTGGGACTCTGTGTACGCAATTTTGTTCCACCACATGTACCACATGTGGTACTATGACAAATAAAGAACCTTGAATCCTTGAATTATCTGCTGTAGCCATCAGGAAGGTCCCATCTAGCCAGTTATATGGTATTAATCCTTTTTTGTCTACACCTTACCCCTAACATGTGCTTAGCACTTTACTGTGAATGTAACAGCTTGCTTTTGATCCTTTGAAACCTCAGTACATGTTAATGATTGTTTGAACACTGATTCTTTGTCAAATTGGGTTACTAAACTACCTTTTCCTGAGGTGATGTTATTTTTATCAGCGAGTTTGCATCCGTTTTGATCCAGTGCATCTCATGAATCCAACCAGAGACAAAAGGCTGGTCAGAACAAACACCACTGTGGTGTGGGTTAATAGTAGATGTTAACGAGAATCAATGCTTCTGCAGTGCCATTTAGTCTGACATAAATTATCTTATTGTAAAATAAATTTGTTTTTGTCCTACTGTTTAGAAAAATGAATAGTACACATTTCAATACAGAATATTTATGTTAATTGACAACTTGATTTTTTTTTTTTATGATGGAAATAACACCCGTTTCCTATTAATAAAAAATAAAAAAAAACTTTTCTGCAATGGTAAACCTCTATAACTTGCTCATAAAATATTCAAGTTTTCAAATGTATTTTGGCACCTGCAAACACTAAGAATTGGTTCTTAGTTAATAGTTATCACTATTAGTTAAACTCTGGAATAATCTGCCCATCAACATTCGACAGGCCACCTCGGTCTCTATTTTTAAATCTCTCCTCTAAACACACCTGTACTCATTGGCATTTATCAGTGTGATCTCATTTGGTATTTCATCGTTGATGATTGTGTATATCCATTTTGCTTTTACTCCCTGACATTTAACGCAGGGTGATTTGATTTAGTATTTCATGGTTTCTCATTATATTTCATGTTTTTATGCTTTTATTCATGGTGCTGTAATATGTTGTTATTAATATTTGATGCTGTGATCTTTTTTGGTAAGCACTTTGACAACAGTTACTGTTTTAAATGTGCTACATAAATAAATGTGACTTGACTTGGTTAGTGATAACTCTTAGTTATCAGCTCTGTTTTTTCAGATGTTCTGTCAAATGTCGCTTCAGTGCGTTATCAGCTGCTGATCAGTCAAGAGGAGGGGCCTTGCTGTCAGCCAGGCATTGCAGTTAACAAGCAGACAAGAGGCTGAATGAGGAGGGAAGGGTTAAGTGTGGCTGATGGGGGGTATAATTAAAGTTTAAGTGTTTGGGAAACATTTAGGAAACAGGTGTGGTAGGTTGAGATGAGAAAGAGGTTGGGACAGTCCAACACTTTGTGGATGGACCTGCAGGCGTAAAGTGATAAGAAAGTCATGTTTTTGAGGAGGAGAGGCTCATTTGGCTCGAGGATCAATGTTTATTCCTCTCCTAATGGGCTCTACTCAACACAAATTTAGCTTTGCCAGTCATTTTATAACTTTCAGGCAAACACTTGATACTAACCCAGAACAGAGCCAGCACCAATAAGTCATCAGTAATTTGTCAAACCTAACAATTGATCCATCAGAAAATAGATACCCTAACTATTAATCATTGTAAGAATATATAGGATGTGATGGAGAGGACTTTTTGAAGCATTCTGGGTGTTTAAACACGTATAGAAGATCTTGGCAGTAAACTAATCCTCTTAGGATTACAATAAACATTGTGACATTGTGCAAACAAATTAAAACCAAACCACCGTGAATTTGTGGAATGATTAAAACTAAAAGCAGTCCAACTGCTTGACCTAGAAGAAACAGCAGTTCAACTGCTTATTGACTTCTTTTTAGTCGTTTTATGTTGTGTGTGTATGTTTGCAACAGATGCAGCTTGTCTTCTGTCTCAAATCCTCCCCTTTTTACTCTTTTGCTTCTTCTGTCATTATGTTCTCTGTATGACCCTTATGTCTGGGAAATCCCCCTCAGCCTGAAACAAAAACTTGAGCTTCATCGGAGAGTGGTCCAACATCAAAGCATTTAACTAAGTTCACAATGAAACTAGATAGCACCTACGGCTAGCCTACTGACCTGACATCCTGAGAACAGCAGTTTGGAGATAAGCACAGACGAACGTGCTCAAACTCTCCAACAGTCACATATAAATGTTACCTTTGATTCATAGTGCTTTGCTTGCCACCAACTGGCAGGTTCTAAAACGACAGCCGGCTCATGTAATGGTCAGGTGTGTTAGGACTCTAACCTGTCCAACATGAAAAGCAAAGGCTTCCTCCCTCTATGAAGCATAATCCCACATCCCAGACTTGCTCCATATGTGCTGTGTGCCCTATAACCTTTAGCCAGTGTATGAGTCCACATGGCAAGAGACTTCAATCAAGTCTTAAAGTAAACTCTGTCACGGTTCACAAACACCAAGGTTAACCACCGAGCGACTTCAAAACACAACAAAGAGGTGAGATCTGATAAGATCTGATGGGCCTACGTTTAAAGGTAGTTACTTTTTATCACATCTGTTCATTAATGGCCTTCATTTCTCAGGAGGGTGCAGTAGATTTGGGGTTTAAGGTGATAAAACATGTTTGGTCTGAATGATTTGACCACTGTGTCTGATACTAGATTACTTTCAACATGGTGAGCCTTGCCTCAAGTTTGTAGAGCTTAATAGATAATCACTTGCAACCTTCAGCCAGCTTTATAAAAAACAACAAAAATGCTCAGCTCTTTTAGTAAAATAATTTGGCTGCAAGTCTCTCACTTGGCTGCATATAACTTCCGATAATGTAGCCCATACAGACTTGGTGGTTTTGAGTTTCTACCAAATATTTTATGAAGCTTTAAGTAAAGTGCGTGTCAAAAAGATGTAGAGGTCAGCAAGAGGACTCTGTACAATTATCAGGGTATTTCATTGTAACCAATAACAGGTTGGAACTGCTTCAGTGTTAGTTACAATCACCCAAGGTGGGATATAAACATGGAGAAAGGCAAACCAGTCTCTGGCAGATGTCCTCAAAATAACTGAATGTTGCAGGGATTTGACAGTGTGTCAAGAGGATAAAGGTTTTCACCCTGCATTCATAACCCTGATTCGTATAAACTTAGCAATAAAAACATCTGATGACTTAGAAGAAACAGCCAGGATAGAAAATAAAATCATTATTATTATTGCTTGAGGACGGTATCAGTTTAAAAGATATTTAACCTTCACACATGGCATCACTTTTCTCTAGCAATGTTACCAGATACTGTGATGTGTTGTTCTAAAACAGATGTTAGGCCAAGCTGCTAGTATTTTTCTGTCAGACACAATTATAGGTAATAATCCTAACTGAGGAGACCCAATCGTTCTACCCAATCAATATATGTGTTTGTGTGTGAATGTGTGGGACTGGTGGAGATGAGACCGAGTGAGCACCATGTCAGCTAGCTCCGTCTTTGTTCTGCGTGTCCAGCGTGAGTTGCGGCTGTGACAGCAGCTCCCGTTGCCCGTCTTTTTTAGGTGTTTTGGTTAATAAAAACCCTGAACAGTGCACGGTCTTTTGGTTTGTCAGTGTAGTTCTTCATCTAAATGGTATAAACAATTCAAGTTCATTGTCGTTCGCATCACGTGGTACATGAGGTGGAACAAAATTATGTACTTGCGGTCCCAGTTACACGCAAAAATATAATGTTTAAAAAGAAACCGTATATAAGAATCTAAGATCTACGCTAAACGAACGCCAAACGGCCAAACAGAAAAAAAGTCTAAGATTAAATCTATTTTCACTGACTGTTACACACTTAGTGCACGTGTTAAAGGCTTGTTCCAAGTCACCCATGATTCCTACCTCTCTTTGCTAAGAGCCATGCGTGGAGGATCCAAGTTGGGATTCTCCATGGACTCCATTTGTGGGCAGCGTAGGAAGTAGTAAAGGGTGTGGAGGGCGTCAGGCGACCAGGACACGGGCTGCTGGGGACGGGCGTGGCGAGCAGGACTTAGCCCTGAACGCGCTGAGCTCAGACGCTGCATGTGATGCATGGCACGGGACACCAAGTCACCTGAAACAAGAAAATTACCATTAAAGTACTCTCTAATTTAAGCTCATGAAGCTTACAGATAAGGATTTTTTTTTTTACATCTTGAGTACTGGATCAACACGATAAACATCAGTGGACTAGAACGTGTGCCAAAGGTTCAAGTAGCAAATTAAAATTGGAGTTCTGTGTTTAGTATAAACTGGGCTCTCAGCCAAACCGGATTTCCTTCTTTCCTTAACTACTTTCCTCTTGTGCTTTACTCCACGTCTCCAGTGGTATCCACAATTTGCAGTGTCGTTATCAGTAAACAAAGCCAGACGACCAGTCTGAAACAGTCATTCATTTTTAGTCACTGGAGGAGTTAAATGGATAACGGACAGTTGATCATGAACTGTATTGAACAGTAAACCGGCATAATTCAGTCACTGCACTCAGCTGAACAGCTGAGTGTCAGTCACACCATAAAAGGCAACTTAGTCACGAGAAGGCTTTAGGCTTATCTCATCTGTCATGTGTAAAAACATTTACGAGAAATGAACAAGCTGAACTTAGCAAACGAAAACAGAAAGCATTTTTGGGAAAGGCTCATTTAGATACTGTGGGAAAAGTAAATTTGCTACTAAAATCACACGCATGAAATGAAAATTTGGGTGTAGGAGTGCAAGTGATGAAGCTCTGAGATCATGGTGAGAGAGCATAGATGAAAAGTCTCTTTGGTTTTTGGAAAGAGGAGGAGCAGGGAGGGGCAGCATGAGGAAGGGTGATCAGACTAAACTTGGGATCGTGTAACGCTCATTTAACATAATTGCCCCAGGGTTAATATTTAACCAGATTACTGCAAGTGCAAAACAACTCTGTGCCCAAGGTTGAAGAGATCAGTGAGTGCGAGTGTGTGTCAGCATTAAGAGGTTCTTCTGGGTGCTCCACCGAGGGCAAGATTGGGGTAGCCTGACCAAAGCAGACCCCACTTAAAGCTGAAGGGCCTCCTTTGTGTTAACCAGCGCCAAATGTCTCTCCAGGAGGTCTCGCAGGAATTCATGCCCAAGATGGAGAACTTCTCCCTGATCATTCAGTTTAAATTGAGCCCTGAAGCCAAACTAAACTCCTGGGGTCAAAAGGATATGAAATCCTCCATTCATAGATTATCAGTTATATTAGTGCAAATTTACAATACATTTATTATTGTAGTATCAAATTTTCATTGCATTCTACAACATGTGAAGTATGTAAAAAGACAATGATCTGTTTTTTCCAGGATAAATGCACTGGTTATAATACAAGTCCAACAATTTGAACGTTTATCTGAATATTCAGAGCTCTGCCATGTGTTATGGCATGCTGCATGTTTGTGCATTTGGCCACATCCAGTGCAGAAACCCAGCTCACCATAGATGCTTCTGTGTCTGAAGGGTCTCTTGGGCTTAGATCAGAGTCCCAAGCCCAACATATTTCTGTTGTGTGTATGTGAATCTGTGCTTTTAGGCGTGAATGAGTCTGAATGCCAGCGCTGCCCAGATTAGCCCCGTTTCACCTCACCAGAAAAATGTGGCACAAAGAGGCCACTGAGCACAAGTGAGAGAAAGAGTGTGTCTGTACTTTAATGCCTCACTAATGGTGGCAGTGTATGAACGTGGCCTTGTGCTAGAACAAATGACAGAGTGTTAGCTCATTTGGAATAGGAAACCTATCCCAGCTTTGACCAAACTAATCTCCATCTCTCCTCCCCTCTCCAAACCCAAACCACTTCACTCTTCACCTCTACCTTTCCCCTTGCCCCCCCCCCCCCCCCACCCTCAACACTTAAACCAACTCCCTCTTTAAGCGTGTTAACCTACCACTCAAACTTCACCCTAAACAGTCATGTACTCTGCTTCTCACTTATTATATACAGTAAAAATACTACATGTACAGTAACAGAGTGTGACTCATGCCCTTGCTCATGTGACTCGGTGTTTACCAGCCTTCATGTGTAGAAAACTGGCAGTCTTCAAGGAATCTTTCCAATCATGTTGAGTTGAATGTTTAGTCTCTGGAACTTTCTTATCTTTTACGCTTGAATTCAAAAGGAGACATAATCTTAAATATTTTCAACAATGAGTAAGGCTCGTCTTTTTTTTCTTTTCTTTCCCTTTTCAATAAAGTTTAATGGGGGGGGGGGGGGGGGCTGTGCACTGCAATGCAAAACACAGGACAGATAGAAGGCAAGCAACTTTACCCTTGTTGCATGTAAAAATTCATTTCAATGCTTTTGAAAGACAATTGTGCAAGAGATGACTTGAATTAAAAAAATGACAAAATGAGCCTTAAAAGGATAACGTGACGAAGAAAAAAAAACTATCTTTGCTTAGCAGTCAATCTATGCCAGGTATTTTGTTTTTCTGTTTTGTGGTATTTAGGTACGTTTTCAAGAGAAACTTGAAAAAAAAAAAAAAATTATAATTAAGAAGTATGGAATGTGGAGTGCAGCATATAGCACTTAAAATTAACACCCTCCAAACACCGAATGAAAGCAGATGTTCTGGTAAGTAAATGTATCTCTAATGGAATCTGTCCCACGTGACAATAACAAAATAGTTATTTTATAAGTTATGTAGAGTCTTCAGGGCATTTTGGTGTCATTTACAGCCAGGACTCTTCCGTCTTCAGCTGTCTGCACTGAAGCTCAACACACCCCACCCCTACACACGCTTGATGCTTTTTTTCCTTTCAATGTATTCCAGAAAGTTTCTCTACATGGTCTATGGCCAAACAAACATTTTATTATAAAAACTGTGCTGAAGTTTTTAAAAATCCTAACAACTTATGAAGTGTTTTTAAAATGTTTGCTAATCTGGACAAAATGCTTCGTATTGTCAAAGTGTGGGTGATTATCTGAACAGTCAGGGCCATTAATTCAATTAGATATTAGGCAAGAACATCTGCAAAAGCATGAATGGCACAGAATAATCTGCATTTAAAAGCGCACTCACTGAGTTCTGAGATGCTGCCCACACAGGTAGCCAGCAGAGACTGTTCCAGTGTCCTCAGCTCCAGCTGGGCATAAGCGTCCTCCCTGCTGTCCACAGACGTCTGCTGGTTCTCTGTGTAGGGGCTGAAATGGGCAGGGAGGGACAAAACGCCTACAAACACAAAAACAGAAAGGAAAATTTAGTGTTAATATGGAACGTATTTGAGCCTTGTGAGAAAACCTTCACGTGTTCTGCAAACATTCACAAAACCATAGCTGGTGATATTTATTTATTGTAATAGTATTCCTGGTATGATGTAACCCACAAGAGAGGACAAATGAAGACTCAAAGGAAAGCAACCCTTGACCTCAACACTATCGTGAAAATAAACAGAAGACATAGCAGATTGATGCAGACAAAATAAATGTAAAATATTTCAAACAGCAATCAAGGTCTTCCTAAAAAGAATTTATTTCTACAAATGTTTAACATTGAATAACACGAATGCAAAGCATAGCATAAATACTTGATGTGTACTTTTGTAAAGCAAGTAAATGGATGGTAAATGGACTGTACTTATATAGCGCCTTTCTATCTTATCAAGACACTCAAAGCTTTGTGTCATTTACCCATTCATACAGCCCTCTACTAGATCTCCACAAAACAAATTGAATAAATCTTTCTAATGAGACTAATCAGTGCTTTATCACATTCATACACTGATTGGACACACATCGGAGGCAATGAGGGGTTCAGTGTCTTGCCCAGGGACACTTCGGCATGTGACTGCTGGTGGATTCGAACCCCCAACTCTCACAATGGAGGACGACTGCTCTAACCACTCAGCCACAACCATCCAAAGATGAGAAAATGATGAGAAAACAAGAGAATTTAAAAAAAAAAATTAAAGTTATTATGATCAAGTTGTGAAATAAGGAAGAAGGCTTATCAAAGCTATGACCTCAGGATAAATGCCAGTTAAAAACAGTAATATTGTGTATGTTGTTCAGTGTCAGGAGGGCTGTGATCAGTCTTTCATCAGGGAAACTAAACAGCCACTGGCCAAAAGGATGGACCAGCACAGAAGAGCAACAGCATCAGGCCAGGACTCTGATTTACACTTTAGGGATGAAGATGCGTACATTCTTGATGAGAGGAATGTTGGCTTGAGAGAGGAGTAAAGGAAGGCATCTTTGTGAAGAGAACCCATCCATCATAAAACCGGGGCAGAGACCTTAGTGTCCAATTGTCACCTTCTTACAATGCTGTTATTGTTAGTATCACTCAGCCCTCTGTGAAGAGCAAGCGGCACTAACGATAGGCTGATGGTCCTCCTTTATCATGTGAACAACTAGTTTTGATGGTCGATCCACTATGAGAAGGCGCTATTTATAAGACAGTTCGTTGCAGCTCCTCAAGCTGAATAAATCTTTTGAAGATGAAACGTTTCAACAAAGAAGAACCCGTCCAGAGGACCTGACTCAACCTTGTTAGATTAATCTACCAGAATTATTGAGCATGCATCAGGACATCAAGTTTGTTATTTTATGCTACGTGACATTCTTCTACCAGACAACTCTCTCAAGAAGAGATAACGTCTTCCTTACGTAACCTGAAGATGGCATCTTGTTCTTTCCCTGCAGTAATTGTGGTTGTCCAACTCCGTTAGATAAAAATAAAGTGAAGATGAAAACACAGTCCTGTTTTCTGCCTGTTGGTACCTCTCTGCTGGCTGTTGACTAACACTCTGATTAGATAGGAGAGCATGCTTAGGAAGTAAAGCATCCTGTCAGATGTTGTACAACACACTGTGCATGGTGAGCTGACTAAAGAATAATCTTTAGTTTGGCTTTAAAATTAGAGGCGCATCATTTGCCAAGCCAGAGGAAATGAGTGGGTGTAGCTGAGGATCGAAGAGAGAAATGGAAAGAAGAAAGATGATCGGTACAGATCGGTGATTTATGTAAAAAGCCTGAAGAAAAGAAGTTGTTCATCTTAAACTTCTCCCATAACTTTCCTAAATGATATCCACATGTGTCTCTGGGAAGTGGTTTGGTCTCAGAGTAGAGGAGAATCCTGAAAGAAAAAGCAATAGCACCAAAAACAAAAATGTTTTCCCCCCTCTGTAGATTTAGGCAAGCTGGATTATATTACCTCTGCCAACAAGGGTGGATGATACATCGAGTTAATGAATCAAAAAGTGCGGATAAATCTTTTCAAGTAAGACAAAGTTGTAAATATGATCTGTTCATTTCCTGACAAAGCAGGATCAGGGAAGTAAATTCATTCTTAAAAGGATGTTTCACAAACTAAAAACATGTTATTAAATTAAAATATGATCACTTCAGCAAAGATCTGCTGCCAAACATGATCTGGTCTCATTTCAAAAGTGAAACTTCATCTCTCGTTCACTCTACTTCATCTGATTTGTACATATGGTAACATTTGTTTTAAGACAATGGAAGCCTTTAGCAGAGCACTACTGATGGATAGAACAATAACGTGCACAAGCTCGAGATTATTTCAACTTTTTTTACTCACACAGGCACAAACAGTAACTTATATTTGTACTTATAAACTATCGTATTTTTCAGACTATAAGGTGCACTTAAAATCCTTTAATTTTCTCAAAAATCAACAGTGAACCTTATAATCCGGTGCACCATACGTATTAATGCTGGTTGTGCTTACTGACCTCAAAACAATTTTATGTGAACAATGTTGAGAGTTATTGTGAAAGAGTTGAATAAAGTTCGACTTATCTGACCATTTTGTTTCACTTAATGCACTTTATAATCCGGTGCGCCTTATAGTTTGAAAAATACGGTACGTTTTTGCACAGTTATTCTGTGAAGGTCTTGGACTATCTTTTCAGGCGTGTGTTCAGTGTGATTCCCTCATACTCAACAACCCTTATGCATTATTGTGTTTAATTTATCTTTGTCTGTTTACACTGCTATTGCTTCACTGTCATCCCCCCCATCTGTAGCAGCCTCCTTTTACAGTACTAAACGCTGCATGTAACGGGACCTGCTGATTTAGATATAGCTTGTTTGAAGTTCGGAAAGGTTCCTGCTTTTAAGAGAAATCAACCATTTGAAAAAATGCTAATGCTAAATACCGTGGGCATTAAATATTATAGTATATATATATATATATATATATATATATATATATATA